CACCCCGCATGGGGGAAAGCAGTGGGCTCAGAGCCACCCCTCTGCCCACACAGACATGGGGGGTAGCGGAGGGTCGTCATCATCCCACATCAGGGGGGTTGCCTTGGATAAGAGGGTGGTCCCTAGGGCTGACCCACCACTCCATCCCCTGGGATACTCCAGACCCTCTTATTGCAGCCCCCTCACCGCACCTGAGGCTCCCCAGAGAGGGATTTACATCTTCCCAGGAGCTTTCCCCTTTCCCCAGCAGATCCTGCCAGCAATGTCCATGGGCCACCTGAGAAGCCCCCTGAGAAGCCCCCAGCCCCTGGCTCCCCTGCCCAAACCCAGCTAGAGACATCAAGACACCAAACGCCGGCCAGGAAGGAGCTTTTCTGCATGAAGAAATCACAGAGGGAATCAGAGGCGAGGCAGAGCATCAGGAGGAGCATGGCCACGGGGACCACCCTGGGGACCCCCGAGCAGCTGGGGGTTGCAGCAGCACCCACCCACCCCCCAGCACCGTGGGGCAGCAGCAGTGTTGGGGTTGTTCTGGTTTATCTCCCCCATTGGCGTAAGCGCAGCCTTGAGCGTGCTGGAGCAAAGGCAGGGATGCAGCAAGCCAAGGCTGTGGCCATGAAAGCGTCCCAGCCGTCCCCCAAATCCCAGCCCTGGGCTGGAGTCAGGCTGTAAGGAGATGAAATGGATGTTCCCAGGATCTGGCTCCTCACAGCGGGGACTCGAGCGGCCGCAAGGTCAAGTAGATGGGTTTGTCTGGGATAAGGATGAGGTCAAACTTGGTTCCAACTTCCACTGCTCTCATGGTCTCGATCTTGAAGTTCTCCAGGATCTGGGATGGAGGAGAATAGAGTGGATGGAGGAGTGGAATGCTGTCAGTCCCAGCAGCCATGTGCCACCTCCCCTGTCCCCGTGTCCCGGCAGCAGGATGCTCACCTGCATAAGGAAGATCTGCATCTCCAGCTCAGCGATCCTGCGCCCCAGGCACTGCCGGGGGCCGAAACCAAAGCCCAGCCCCTTGAAGTGCTTGGGGTCAGCGCCCAGCCAGCGCTGCGGGATGAACTGCTCCGGCTTGGGGAAGACCTCAGGATCCCGGCCCATAGCGTAGAGACCGACCTGTACCAGCGTCTGCGGGGAGGCAGGGTCAGCCCCGTGGAGCTTCGCTGGTGCTCGGGATGCAGGGATGGGATCCAGCCCCAGTGGATTCCACCCCTCCGTGCTCCAGGTCCCTCCTCCACCCAGAGCCCCATGTTTTTTGGGGGTGGGGGGGAGGGGGGGGGCCCCGGGGCTCACCTTGGGAGGGATGCGGTAGTCCTGGAGGATGACCTCCTGTGTGGTGTACCTCTGCAGGGTCACTGCCACAGGGTGCAGCCTGTGCGGGACAGGTCCCATGTGCCTCATTTTGGGTACAACGCAGCCTGCCCATGTCCCACCCTGTTCCATGACATCCCAGCAGCACCAGGAGGGAAGGGGCCGGGGATGTTTGCTGCCATCCCTCCTCACCTCAGTGTCTCCTTGATGGCAGCTTTGAGCAGCCGGATGGTCTTGAGCATCTTCACCCTGTCTCCCGCTGCCTCCCGCTTGGCAGCCAGGAACTCTGCCCGCAGCAGCTCCTGCACAGCCGGGGCCAGTGCCAG